TCAGAACGGGTTCACAGAGACGAGCACCACCTGTTGCAGCGTGTTCCGACAAGCGTTGCAGCTCTGCGAGCCAACCATGACTGCGTACACTGTGGTGCAAAGAAGTTATAGTATGAAACCACAAAATTATGTTGTTCTGGGGGTACTATTCGACTTGCAATCCATTCCTTACCCTTTTTTTTAAAAGGTTTGCTCTTTTCGCGATCGGCTAATGCCCGATATTTTCAGGAGTGTATAAGAACAATAAACAACCAATTTGCTTTCACATCTTTAAGAGTCAGATACGATAAGGAATTGAGCAAGCGCAATAGAGGAATCTTTACATTTAGAATCCAAGGTCAAATGTATCATTTCATACACGATTTAGAGTCACTAAAAATTTTCCAGGTATATTTTCATGACACAGAACATGAGGTTGCAAACCGACTAGCGGCCTGCTCTAAACTAACTGAATATGTGGCCGTTGGGGTGATGAAAGCATTCGAAAATAATCCTTATGCGAAGTTCTTTAGGGGATTTAAAAATTTAAATAGTTTGGATGATTGTTGTATTGTTCTTCGTTCAGTACGAGGACTTGATCAAAGCGTATATAACCAACCACATGAATCTGAGGTTGCTGCATTGTTGGTAGATGGTGAAGCCAATGAGGAGCCGTGCAAACGGGACATTAGGGTTTATGGTGGGGTTAGGGGGTCTCGTAATGTGCAATATTATTTTGGTTGTTATGATCATTTGCAGTATCCTTTACTTTTTCCTCTAGGTCAGGTTGGCTGGCACCAAGGGATACAAAAAATAGGGGTCACGGCACCTGCAGGGCCAACTCAACTGTGCACCTCGGTGCTCTCTGTATCACCCTTCTGTTTTACGGATGCTGATGATTTGCTGTTTATAGAACATACATGTTGGATTTTTATTTCCTACAGTAAACGGATTGTTGTAAATATTTTAACTTCAGTGCCTCATTTTTTTTTCCTTTCAAGTGCAGCCTCTGTAGGCCCCATTGATAACCTAAACTTTGTTTTGGCCAAGGAGTATTATTGTTATAAGCTGCAAATACGCCCTTCCGATGATTCATTTTTGCTACACTTTGGTAGGCTATTTCAGCAATATATTGTTGACACGTACGTTAAGAGAGAAGCACAATGTCTAGACTTTTACAACGAAATAATTATTAGAAATAAGGAATGAGGTTCTACAGAGTGTTCAGGATGCATTAGCCAGTGGGGAAACATAAGCCAGTATGGTGGGACAACGAATTTATCTACCTTCGGGTTTCATAGGTGGTCCTAGGAACATGAAGAGAAGGTATATGGATGCAATGACATTAGTTCATAAGTTTGGTAGGCCTGATATATTTATTACTATGACGTGCAATCCAAATTGGCAAGAAATGAAATCCCTAATGCATAGCTTAGATGAGTCCAAGAGTTTTTTGAGCAAAACTAGAGGACTTAAAAAATGACCTTTTTAAAAGACACCTTTTTGGTTAGGTGGTCGCGTACACGTATACTATTGAATTCCAAAAGAGAAGCCTTCCACATGCACATCTTCTATTAATTTTAAAATCCCGATTTAAAATGTACACACCTAAAAAAAATGATAAAGTTGTGAGCGCTGAGATTCCTGATCGACAAACGAACCCCAATTTGTTTAACATGGTGATCAAACATATGTTGCATGGCCCTTGTGGTGAATTAAATCAGCTAAAACCGTGCATGAAAAAGGCAAACACGTGAAAAAAATTTTATCCTGAAGATTTTTGTGACCAAACCACACATGTGGATGATGCATACCTAAGATACCGGCGTAGACGTAATAATGTTCGAGTGAAAGTTAGGGGCCATGAGTTAGATAATAGGTGGGTCATTCCTTATAATCCATACTTCCTTGCAAAGTTTAACTGTCACATTAATGTTGAGTTGTGTTCGACTGTACAGGCGGTTAAATATATTTATAAGTACATCTGCAACGGACACGATAGGATTATATTTCATGTTGGTGCTAGGAACCCTGTTCAAGAAGTAGATGAGATAGAACAATTTAGAACTGCCCATTGGGTGTCCCCGCCAGAGGCTGCTTGGTGTAGTTTTGAATCCTCCATGGGTGAGATAAAGCCTGCTGTAATACATTTACAAATACATTTAGAAAATTACCAACGAATTTCGTTTCGTGAAAATGATCGATTGCATAGAGTTGTTGATAATCGTCAACATAAGAAGACTATGTTCACTGATTTCTTTTTCATGAATGCTAACGATCCGTATGCGCAATCTTTGAACCTAACCTATTTGCAATTCCATCAATTCTTTGTTTGGTTGTATGACGAAAAAAAGTAGAAAAAAGGACTAAAGCAGATATCCATAGGCCGTTTGGTTTCATTTCATGCTAGTGAGGGTGAGAGATATTATCTTAAAATTGTTTTGTCCAAAGTGCGATGTCCTACATCTTTTAATGACCTAAAATTTTTTGGCGGTAAAATGTTCTCAAGTTTTAGAGAAGCAGCACTTGCGCGTGGCTTACTTGAAGATGATAGTAGTCAGGAAATGTGCTTGGAGGAAGCGGCTGCATATCAAATGCCATATGATATGCGCAGACTATTTGCTAATTTTTGGTTTATTGTGGGCCCGCAAATCCGAAAGCACTCTGGCTGGAATTTGAATATGCTCTATATGAGGATTTCATTGCATCTGGCGGTTTATTAGTTGAAGAAACTAGGAGAAAAGATTTAGTTTAAATTAACGGATTCTTAGAATCAATGGTTAAAAAATTGCTCTCTTTTGGAATGGTGCCTAACAATTATGATTACCTACCGGAACATAACACACGAGAGGTCACTGCTGAGCGAAACATTGTCTTGTCTGAGGAAGAGGTAAACACGGTCTCCTTGCTTAATAGAGAACAACAAAAGGCCTTTGAGATAATAATGTCCCGTGTAGATAGAAATGAGAATCCTTTTTGTATAGGGATTTATTGGCCACTGTATGGTCAAAAGGCCATATAGCTCTGGCTACTGCAACATCAAGCATTGCTGCTTCAATACTTCCTGGCGGTCGTATTGCTCATTCTAGATTTAAGATCCCAATTGATCTGTCGGGGTTTAGAACTTGCATGATTAGTAAACAGAGTGGTTTGGATTCTTTAATACGGGAGAGCAAACTAAATGTTTGGGACGAGGCACCCATAGAAAAAAAAGATGCCATAGAAGCACTTAATCTTGTTTTACAGGATCTATGTGGTTGCTCGGGTATTTTTGGTGGTAAGGTCATAGTTTTTGAAGGAGATTATAGGCAGGTGCTGCCGTTGGTGCGCCGAGGAAACAGGAGGGATGCCGTTAATGCCTGTATAACTACCTCATACATCTGGTCCTCTCTAGAAAAGTTAAGACTTGCTGAGAATATGCGGGCACGTTTTGATCCTTCATACGGGTGCTTCTGAACGAAAATACTACCGGGATATTAGCTAGAGCCGACGGCTAAGGGTAGATCCTGATTTAGGGGCTAGCTGCACGGTGTTGCCGTATGCACATAATTGACGTCCTACCAAACGTGAATTTTCTGTTTTATATATATGTATATGTATATATTGAAATTTTACTATCAGTTAAGGAAATTATACCGAGCAGCATAACTTTTGTTGTCCATGCCCTATTTCTGTATAATTTAGCCTTATGTGATTTTCTATTTTCGAATTATTATTATTTTTTTCTCTTCAACTGATGTTGCCCTGTATAACCTGTTTTAATGATAAAAAAGTTTTGCTGTGCTACAATGCTTTTAAAATGATTACACTGAACTACTCGTGATTTCCCATAGGTCCAGATTGGATAGGAAAAAAAATGTACTTGCTATCTATGAAAGCATTACTTAAAGTTGATATTGCAGTGTGGTATCATATCTAATCTTTAAAGATCTTTACTAATGAAGACCGACATAGCACAACAACAATTTATTTTTGCATATTTGTTGTTCATAGGATAGTTTAGTTCCTCTATATATACTCATCCTCCAACCTAAGGAACCCCACCAAATCATTCCAAGTTATAAACATACAAAGTGTAAGTACTTTTCTATAATGCTTACTTTCTTTGATTTTTTGGGTACTGCTCAGTCAGCTTTCTAAACTTAATCAACTCATACCAACCCATGAATTGTTTTTAGAAGAACTCAATGACAAAGCATTCAATTTTTAAAAAATAGTGATATTGTTTTATTTTTCTTTACTAACTCGGATTTAATATCATTTTCAGGCAATCAAGAAGAACATATTGTTAATTGAAAAAGTGCAGTCTGATGTTAAGGGGTGGACGGCATTGATACAAGTCGTCAAACGAAGTCATATACTTGTGAGTTAGAAGGACCCAACTGTCTCCTACCGCAGGTTTCTATTTGTTGATGCTGAGGTGAGTTAGTACTTAGCACCACTAATTCACTTGCACTCAGTATTTAAAGTAATAGAACATTACCTTCTTTGTTTATATATATTTTTTGGGTATGGGAACAAAACTAGAGGACACAAGTATCGGTAGTGGCGTACAACAACAATATAAGGCCCTATTCACCACTCATGCTGCCGTTTAAAGATACTATATTTCTAGAGCTACCTTGAAGAAGGTTGACGAGAAATACCGGGTTGGCGACAATGGGTTCTCTTGGACCATCACTAACAGCACCTTAATCCAGCCATGCGAAGAACAGATCGTGCCTCAGATGTATGGCCACATTGAATTGCAACAATTTCGCAATCTACATTATTTTGCAGATACAGATAACATACAAAGTAAGTCGCTTTTCTAATGAATACGTTGTTAATTAGCAGATGGTTATTTGTTGGAGTTTTATATTAAATTTCATACAATTAGCATTAATTTTTTTTCTTTGTAGATGTTCTTGGTGTTGTGGCATNTTTTTTTTTTATTGTAGATGTTCTTGGTGTTGTGGCATACGCATTTGAAGAGAAGCAGATTGGGTTTGATTCAATCAATAGAGATATTTTGCTTGTTAATGAAGAGTAAGTTTAAAGTACTATTTGTTCAAATTTGACCTTGTAATATTAAGATACTATGATGCAAATTAACAACATTTTTTACCTATGTAGGAATATGCCAATCATGTTAACACTATGGAATGATTTTGCCATTACCGAAGGTGCTCAACTTGTTGCTACCATTAATGCCGGTAATGTCATTCTCGCCATGCGTGTTAGGGTGAAAAATTATAATGGTACCTTAATGTGTCTCCATTGTGCAACAACTTTGCTAATTTATTAGACTATATCTTCATTTTTTGTTGCATGGTAGGCATTTCGCTATCTACTCGGGTTCAAAGCGCTAGTCTGATGAATCCACCTTTGCCTGAAGTCACATAACTTAAACAGTGGTAAAAGGGCTGCAAATTCATTCAATTCACCATTGTGCTAATTCAAAACCCTAAGTTTAAGTCTTATGTTGTGTCCACAAGGTACATTAACAACAAGGTTGAGATTGGACATTTGATATTTGCCGGAGCTTATAAGGATGTCTCTACTTTGTTGCTCCGTCCTATGCCTGACAGGATTATCACTTTGCATACATTAATAGATCCTGAGCGCAACATAAGCTAATTATGCTCAAATCTTTCGTAAGACATACAATACCTTCTGAATTAATGTTGTGGTCTAATAAATACTTTTGTTTTGATTTTAAACAGATTTGAACTGCATGGATTCAAGGCACTGCTTCTTTGGGAGCCATAAACCAACCACTCTGGTTTGGTGCATGTATGAACTGCCGCAAGAAATTCGAACTTCAGATCACCTCTGAAATACTATGCAGCTCATGCAATAAGCAGAGTCAGATTTCAGCAAGGTATTTGTAGCAATGCAATGCAAAATATAAGTGTGCAAATACATTAACATTAAAAAAAAAATGTTATCATATGATTAGCTTTGCAAACTGACCCAGGGCAAGGATTCCAATTAAAATTGAAGACGGTATTGGTTCAATTGTTGCCGTGGTCTATGGAAAAGATGCTGAGCTACCAACGAAATTCAGTGGAGTGCAACTCCAACAAGCTGATGAAAAGGTTGTTCATCTTTAACCAAAAAGAAAAAAAAAAATTACTAAAGGTTTAATAAACTTCAAATATCTAAAATACTGTTAGTAGTTATTTCTTTTCATTCATTTCGGCGGAGTATATTTATATTGAAATACTCATTTATTTAACCTGGTGACCTAGCATAATGTGTTACTTGTGTAAGTGTTGTAGGTCATTCCGTAAATGTTGGTACAATTGCTAATACTTTCATCCTCATACATATGCAAGTTCAATGTGAATGGACCAAGTTACTTGGTTGTCAAGCTTTACAAGGATGAAGATGAGGAAGATGAACCAGGTCCCGTTGAAGATGATAAAGAAACTGAACAATCACTGGCTGGAGATAAGGTTGTTGTACTTTTTTATGCTTACAATTTTTTATGATGTAACACAGCTTACCCCGCAACAAAAAATTAGATACCCACCTGACGATATTCTTATGCATGAACCGTTAGAGTCACAACTATTCACTCCCAGCGCAAAAGCATGTCTGGAGGAGGTAGCCGCCCAAATTTGGAAGTCCGACATGCTGGGGCAGCCATAAGCAAGTGTGAGGCGCGTGCTAAACTTAGAGGTTGAGTCGTTCGACTCAATGGGTAGCAATTCAGTGTTGGACAATGATTATGTGGCTGGAACCTCCAGCGAGGGTAGCGGCACTAGCGACCAAAATATGTCTGACAGCCCACTGAAGAAAGAACGCACCCAGACCTAAGGGTGGTGCTTTAGTATGCCGAGACAGCTCATTTTGCTTGTATTCGACAATGCTATAGATGCTATTTCTTATCTTAATATTGTGTGTTGTACCGTAGCTATCTTCAGCCCTTTTGGAACTACTTTTGTTATCAGTTTAGAATAGATTTAGCATCTCTATGTTAGGTTGCTAAACTAAGTCTAAATTGCTAGAATCTCTATGCAGATTGTTTCTAATGAGAAGAAACATTGTTTTGTGATAGCCTACTATGGTCACCTTTTCTGATACTTTTTTTCTCTTCAACTGATGTTGCCTTGCATAATATGTTTTAATGATAAAAAAGTTTTGCTGTGATACAATGCTTTTAAAATGATTACACTGAACTACTCGTGATTTCACATAGGTCCGTGTTGGATAGAAAAAAAAATGTACTTGCTATCTATCAAAGCATTACTTAAAGTTGATATTGCAGTGTGGTATCATATCTAATATTTAAAGATCTTTACTAATGAAATAGCATAACAACAATCTATTTTTGCATATTTTCCTCATATATACTCATCCTCCAACCTCAGGAACCCCACCAAAACATTCCAAGTTATAAACATACAAAGTGTAAGTACTTTTCTATAATGGTTACCTGCTTTGATTTTTTGGGTACTGCTCAGTCAAATTTCTAAACTTAATCAACTCACACCAACCCATGAATTGTTTTTAGAAGAACTCAATGACAAAGCATTCAATTTTTAAAAAATAGTGATATTGTTTTATTTTTTTTTACTAACTCAGATTTAATATAATTTTCAGGCAATCATGAAAAACATATTGTCAATCGCGAAGGTGCACCTTAACCCAGCCATGCGAAGAATAGATCGTGCCTCAGATGTATGGCCACGTTGAATTACAACAAGTTCGCAATCTACATCGTTTTGAGGATACAGATGATCTACAAAGTAAGTGGCTTTTCTAATGAATACATTGTTGATTAGCAGATGGTTATTTGTTGGATTTTTATATTAAATCTCATACAATTNGATGTTCTTGGTGTTGTGGCATACGCGTTTGAAGAGAAGCAGATTGGGATTGATTCAGTCAACAGAGATATTTTGATTGTTAATGAAGAGTAAGTTTAAAGTACTATTTGTTCAAATTTCACCTTGTAATATTAAGATACTATGGTGCAAATTAACAACATTTTTTTACCTATGTAGAAATATGCCAATCATGTTAATACTATGGAATGATTTTTCAATTACCGAAGGTGCTCAACTTGTTGCTACCATTAATGCCGACAATGTCATTCTCGCCATGCGTGTTAGGGTGATAAATTATAATGGTACCTTAACGTTTCTCCATTGTGCAACAACTTTGCTAATTTATTAGACTATACCTTCATTTTTTTTTTTTGCATGGCAGGCATTTAACTATCTACTCGGGTTCAAAGCGCTATTCTGATGAATCCACCTATGCCTGAAGTCACAAAACTTAAACAGTGGTAAAAGGGCTACTAATTCATTCAATTCACCATTGTGCTAATTCAAAACCCTGTATTTAAGTCTTATGTTGTGTCCACAAGGTACATTAACAACAAGGTTGAGATTGGACATTTGATATTTGTCGGAGCTTATAAGGATGTCTCTACTTTGTTGCTCCCTCCTATGCCTGATAGGATTATCACTCTGCATACATTAATAGATCCTGAGCGCAACGTAAGCTAATTATGCTCAAATCTTTCGTAAGACATACAATACCTTCTGAATTAATGTTATGGTCTAATAAATACTTTTTTTTTTTTGATTTTAAATAGATTCGAACTGCATGGATTCAAGGCACCGCTTCTTTGGGAGCCATAAACCAACCTCTCTGGTTTGGTGCATGTATGAATTGCCGTAAGAAATTCGAGCTTCAGGTCACCTCGGAAATACTATGCAGCTCATGCAATAGGCAAAGTCAGATTTCAGCAAGGTATTTGTAGTTGCAATGCAAAATATAAGTGTGCAAATACATCTATATATATATAAAGAGGTTGTTGGAAAAATACATTAATAGAAAGTTTGACCAAATAAATATAATGTTTGACTTACTATTAATGGAAAGTTCAAAAAAACACATGTGAATCTTTAGTAACAAAATCTAAATCCTATTTTTTTGGTAACAAATTTAGAGATTCTTATGGCAAATTTGAATCCCATATTTTTCGTATCATATTTAATTTTCTTACTAAATTTAAATCATATCTTTTTTGGTAACAAATTTGGAGATTCTTATGCAAAAAATGTGTCAATTATTTATGAGAACAGTTTTAAATACAAATTCATTTAAAAACCGTGCAAATTGGATACAAATTTAGGAAGCAAATAGTTGTATAATTCTTAACCAATTCTAACAATCTTATTGAATAATTTTTTCTTTAAAAAAAATTGTGTAAATTAGATAAAGCCACGTGCAATTTTTATTTTAAAATAAAACTGATATTTTGACGGGATGTACATTCAAAATTGTGTCCACATTTCTTGGTAACAAAAGCGGTTCATCATTGACATTTAAAGTCACCTTATCCAATTATTTAGGAAAAGATATGTGCAACTTTTCAAAATTTAAATGCATCGATTTTTTTGGATTCTTATGTTTTTTCTTAACCATGTTTTACCGAGATTTTGGTAAGTTCATATCATTTTTTTTTTGTTAAGTTCATATCATTTTCTTTAGGAAAGAGACAGTTGCATCATTAACAGTTTATTTCAATTTTTTATTAGAATTATTTTTAATTCAATTTGTTTGGTACAAAAATTGGTGCAATGTTAGGAAAATTTGGTTGCATTTTTAAGAAAAATTGATGATTTTTTTATTTGGTTTAAAAAAAAATCGGATCAATTTGTTTGATAAAAAATCGGTTTATTGGTAAGAAAATCGGTCATTTCCGGGACTAACTAATGATTCTTTTCAATTTTTCTTAATTTATATTTAGAATTAGATTTAAAATAAATAATGGGTGAAAATCCCTAAAAAAATTTACTTTTTTTATTACTATAATTTTGTTTAATAAATAAGATCCTTTATTTTTTTTAAAATTTGTTAACAAATAACTAATAATATGCAATTTTGGATAAATTCGAACACTTATGTAGTACTTTACGTGTCAAAGAGTCAAATCAATAATGTTGTACATAAGGAAGTGTTTAATAACATATAAATTTCATTTTCATGAAATTTTTAATGGCATGAAACAATTTAAATACAAAAATATCTTTTAAAAAATGTATATAATAATAAATGCTCCCGTGCAACGCACGGGCACCGTACTAGTTGACATTAAAAGAAATGTTATCATATGACCAACTTTGCTAACTGACTCAAGGCAAGGATTCCAATCAAAATTGAAAACGGTACTGGTTCAATTGCTGCCGTGGTCTATGAAGAAGATGCTGAGCTACTAACCAAATTCAGTGGAGTGCAACTCCAACAAGCTGATGAAAAGGTTGTTCATCTTTAACCAAAAAATAAAAAATAAAAAATTACTAAAGGTTTAATAAACTTCAAATATCTAAAATACTGTTAGTAGTTATTTCTTTTCATTCATTTCTGTGGAGTATATTTATATTGAAAATATTCATTTATTTAACCAGGTGACCTCGCATAATGTGTTACTTGTGTAAGTGTTGTAGGTCATTCAATAAATGTTGGTACAATTGCTAATCCTTTCATCCTCATACATATGCAGCGTGAATACATATTGGACAAGCTCGATGCAAATATAAGGGACAAGCACATTGTTTGTTTTGTGAGAATGTTCAATGTGAATGGACCAAGTTACTTTGTTGTTAAGCTTTACAAGGATGAAGATGAGGAAGATGAACCAGCTCCTGTTGAAGATGAGAAAGAAACTGAGCAATCACTGTCTGGAGATAAGATTGTTGTACTTTTTTATACTTACAATTTTTTTGTATGATGTACAACTGTTTACCGTGCAACAAAAAATTACATACCTACCTGACGATTATCCCTGTGCAGGAATCATTAGAGTCACAGCTGTTCACTCCCAGCGCAAAAGCATGTCTGGAGGAGGTAACCGCCCAAATTCGGAAGATGACGTGCTGGGGCAGCCAAAAGAAAGTGTGAAGCGTGTGCTAAACTTGGAGGCTGAGTCGTCCGACTCAATGGGTAGCAATTCAGTGTTGGACATAGATTATGTGGCTGGAACCTCCGGTGAGGGCAGCAGCACTATCGATAAAAATCTGTCTGACGGCCCACTAAAGAAAGCACGAACCAGACCTAAGGGTGGTGCTTTAGTTGACAATGCTCTAGATACTATGTCTTATGTTAATATTGTGTGTTGTACCTGTTGGGTTCGTTAGTACCGTACGGGCTGTACGCAGCGGAATTTAAAATTTTTAAAGTAAGTATTTATCGTATAAATACAACACCCGTACATACTAATTGCGAATTAACAGATCGTCATCTTTAAAATATGCATCATATACAAATTTTGATTTGTTATAATAAAGTAAATACTAATACGAAATATTTACCGAGTGTCTTGAACTCCTTCAACAAAGATGTGGATTGTGGGAATCGGTTCCCGGTTGTAACTTCAACGGCTTGAGGTTACTCGCTTTAGGAATCCAAATGTCTTCCCTCTAATCGTATCCACCCTATGAAGCCCGGTTCCGACGACCTTTCTTCGCTAGTAGAAATGTCTCGGTTTTCTTGTATAGGAATATATATATATAGATATAATTTGGGAATTATCAAGAACACTTTCTTGAAATATATGAAGAACACTTTCTTCTCTCTTTGATTTTCTCACAAAATCACTTCACATCTTTGCAAACATTTTGCATCTATTTATACTAAACATTTTAGCATAAAATAATCAATATTTAGTAATATTTAAATAAAATCAAATTTTATTTAAATAGTATTTACTAACCATTGACTTTGAAAATAATAAGATATGTTAAGTAGTTCAAACAACCATTAACAACCATTTTATTATAATCATATTTCTTATTTTAATCCTTAAATCATATTTAAAGATATAAATAATAATTGGATAATAAATCTTGAGAATCTTTCTCAAGACTTTATTATTATATCATTTTCCCAATCTTATAATAATCATATTATTATTATTTTGGATTTGAAATTTAAAATCCTATTTTAAAATTCAACTTTATTAATTTAGTAATTACTTTAATTACTAAAGTAATATCCAAAATGTAATTAATCAATCTTATTGATTAATATATTCCTTTAATTGACATCTAATCAAATTAGATATTTATCAATTAATTCTAACCATTAGAAATACAATCTTTACCTTTGTTCATAATTAGTGTGACCTTTTAGGTTCACTATTAATACTAGTAGTGGGTTTACAACACTTTGTAATTTGAGTTAAATCTTATTAACTCTTATTCAAGAATTAACCCCTTAATTCATGAACCCACATATCATGGTAACACCTAGCAAGTATCATGAATCTAGTATTAAGTGAATAGCGAGTAAACCTATTCCGATTACAACTCCATACATGTAAAATCCTTTCGACATCTAATTTCCCGATTAAGTCTTGGGTATGATTTTGTCGAAACCCAAATTGACTTAATAACTATGATTCTATTTCATGTTTATTAACCCGGTTATGAATCACTATTCATCTCTGCCTTGGCCAAGGACTTTGGATTAATAACTATGAAACACATAGGAAATTCACTTATCTTCATAAGTGTCGAATCCTTTATTGGCCACTAACAAACTTCCATACATATTAACATAATACCCAACTTATCCCTTTAAACGATAGTGCTAGCTACCAAAAGGATAAATCAAAGTAGAATGTAATATGCACAAAGTTACCATTGTGCCTCAAGTCTTAGGATTAGTCATGTACTATTGTAACATGAAAATTCTTATTCGACTGAATAAATTCTTCATTAAGAATTTTCATACGGTCATGTTCAGTGAACTTGTTCTCTAACAAGCACCCACATAAATGTACTTACGTCTTACGCTAATGTTGATGGAATGCAACATTCTTGTCCAACAAGCATACAAACTATGTGCAAGTCTTTTATGGATTATTCGATATCCCATCTCGAAACATCCATCGACTTGGAACTGTATTTAAGATCACGGCTTTCAAGGTATGTTCCATGATCACCATCTCTATGCGCAACCATACCTTATAACCATAAGTGATCTAGGGATTTTATCTTAAGTGCAATTATAAGATAAATGCTTTCTCTTAAGATAAAGAAATGCCTTATTCATAATATAATTCCAATAGACTGTATTTACAAGTAGAATACGTCCAATTAGATTGGAACGCCGGGTACCCTACTCTAAAAGTACCCTAGCTGTCTTGAGCCCTTTTGGGACTACTTTTGTTATGAGTTTAGAATAGATTTAGCATTTCTTTGTTAGGTTGCTAAACTAAGTCTAAATTGCTAGAATCTCTATGCAGCTTGTTTCTCATGAGAAGAAACATTATTCTATGGTCACCTTTTGTTAATGAAATGAGTGTTGCTGCATTTTGCTTCTATTATGTACAAATTTACCACTAATCAATGTTTACTGTTAAAACTTTATTTTTTTTGTGGTTTTATGTTGCTCCATTTCTTACTGTATGCCACTTGGAATATGGAGGTTCAAAAATTATTTGTTGTTTCTGTTAATTAACATAAACAAAATTTCATTTTTTTCCTATGATTATTCTGTTAAGTTGGAGTTTTCGTTGATGTCTTTGTTGAGGCATATTTATCTTCATAGAAACAGAGACTGATTTAATAAATTGGGGCTGAATTAAATAACAACTTGTAATAATCTTACAGATTCTATTAATTCCTTTTCCAAAATGAATGTCATCTACTAATTAGTGAGTAATTTTGGTATACTCTGTACATTGTATAGCTTTCATTATCTGTTGTGTTTTACCTTATAATGCGGTGGGAACCTATGTGTATTAACGATACCTACAGATCACTCTAAGCAAGAAAATTGCTCATGGATGTACTGCAAGGGGTGCCGAGGATAAGAATAGAGGTCGGGACCACAACCATGGCCAAAGAAATTTGCCACCGAAGATCGCAACTGATTTTGGTTTTTGATTCTTATACCAACTCTTGCTCTTACTTTCGTCAATGTTCTTTGGTTGAATGTTCCAAACAAAGTTCCCTTTTCCTCTATTTAATAGGCTTACTTGTTGTGAATTTTGCGTGAATTATTGATGAATTTAAAACCTGCTTTCTGATTCAGAATCTTATTCGCCAGCTGTTTGTGATTCTTTACATAATTATACTTGCTAGGCTAATGATATCCGCTAAGAAAATGTGATGTCTAATTCATTGGTTGCTGCTGCTGGAAAAACATGTGAGAGAATGTTTGTGTCTTCTGATGTTGGATATAACTCTTGACAATGGGAGCCTAATCGTACAACATGAAGTTCTTTTATACTATTTACCTAATGTGTCAATATGGTATTTCACCTCCAGTTCTTTTAACATATATTGAGATTTCTTTGTAAGGCATATTGGCCTATGTGACTATTTTTATTTTAATGAGGTGAGCATACAATTAGTTAGATAATGAGGTGAGCATACTATTTTTATTTTACTGTGAAGTTCGGATACTCATTCACCATGAAGTGATTACTTAGAATGAAAATTTATCAATGATATTATCTATCTTGAGCGTTGAAAGCCTATATGTTGTCAAACAAATATGTGAATGATTTTCATGTAATCAAACTATAGTAAATATCGTTTTGCTAAACTCTTTGCTGCTTATTTATACATAATGATGTAGTTTGCTTTTCATTTTGCTAATTGGTAATTGGTTGTTATGGTGGTGTATTTTTGTTTTCAATTTTCTTTATATTTTAACGTTGTGCTTTTTAGTTGCTATTACTTCATAATAATGTTTTATACAGAACATCACTTAGAAATATTATTACAAAATATAGGACATAATTATAATTATTAAGGTACAAATAAATAAAAGCGAGTTTGGACCCGGCTGTGCACATCGGAGTCAAACTAGTATATTTATATATTAAAAGGCCGTTTAATATTTATAGAAATATTAAAGAATTTCCGTTATTTTAAAGCATAATCAAGTCTTATTCAAGGGGTTTACTAAAATCCCAAAACATTAAGGATGCTTGGATACAAATTTATCCAAAAAAATCTAATCTTTTTTTGACACAATCACTTTTTTTAACTCAACCCTACTATCATCAATATTATCAATATAATTAAATAATATTATTATAACTTTAATTCACTATCCACTCACATAATTTTAACTAATCATCACTTCAAACAATCTATCTCCTATTTTTACATCAAATCAATTTTAATTATTTCATTTTAAATATTATCTTAATATACCCACTAACAACTAACCATACCAACTTTTTTCAAATTAACCAAATCAACACAAAAAATCCAAACAAATCTAAAATTTTTATATGCAAGCATCCTCGACTTTTTCCAATTGGCTCAAACTGTCATGGTTTTTTTGTAATGTATATACTTTATTGTAAATACAAAATCATTATATCTAACAGAAATTCTCTCTTCTTAAATGCATCACAGACGTGTATGTGAAAAAAACATTTAATAATAATGGCGATGGAAGGTCAATTAACATTAATAATGCAAAACCTGCATTTCTTGAACCGTTCTTAGGCCCAAATTATTCCAGAATTCAAAGTCAAAAACTTTTAATTTTACATTCCTTTTGAACAAAACTTGGTCCAATTTTTCAATTTCGTGTCACAACTCCACAAGAGTTATAACTCATTATACAAAGACCTAAATCAACATTTCTGAAAAGAAAAAATAAAACAAAATCAGAAATGGTAAACTGGTTACATGTCTCACTAGCCATTGCATTCACAAGCATCTTCATCCTCATCCTCCTCGTAATCCTTCAGAAATGCTTCCACCCCAAAACGCGCCCAAACGCCGTCGTTTCGGACCCTAACCGAAACCCTAACAGCTTCCAGAACGGAATTTCCAGGCTTCACCAAATCACCTCCAGAAAAGCCAGCAATTACTACTTCCTGCAGAAGGAATTCTCCGCGGAGTCGCCGGCGTTCTTCAATTGGGTCGACCACCCGTCGCTCTTGGCCGACGCCGTTGAAAACGGATGGTCCAGATTCGCTTTCCGGACCCTGACTTCATCTCCGTCCGTGAAGCCCGTTTTCGGCCCGTCCGATGTCGAGATTGGCTGGGAGGTTTGCGAAGGGTCAGAAGATTATGTGCAGAGAATTAGGGTTAATCAGGGATTGAGGAAAGCGATCACAGCCGTCGATTTGCCGACTGGAGCCATATCAGTGATCCGGGCCGGTCTACCTCTGCCCGGCCCTCGCTTTGGTAATTCGGGTTTTCCGCAGCAAGCGTTTTTTGAAATCACGATTTTGGGTGAGGATGAAAATGGCCAATTTGGGGATGATGATAACGTTTGGGTTTCGATCGGTCTGACTGGAAAAGGGCCTATCCCCTTGAAAATCCCAGGCAGCTTTCAGGGGTCTATTGGCTTTAATTCTACTGGCTCTGTTTATCTAAATGGTAAGGTTTTCTTATATCATTTATTGGGTTTTTATTATTGTATTTTTATTTTTATGTTCATTCCTTTATTTTTAATTGGTTCAGAATGTTGTGCTGCTTCTGTTGCACCATTCTTGGCAACTTCTATGTTGTTGAACTAAACTAGTTTTTAGACTTTCAATTTATTAATTGAATCGAATGTTTAACATTATTTTGTTCACCTCATATTTGTGCAGTGTATTAGAACAAAATTGAACTAAGACCTTTCAATCTTTTTGAGCATAAGTAGATTTAGGAGACTTTAGATGCATCATCACTAGTCAATTTTGGAGCATAGTAGGATTAATTACACACAAATTCCCGTGTGAGACAACTATTCATACATTTTGAACGAAAATGTATACTTCTTAATGTCATATTTTTATTTATATTGGTTATTTAAGTATGACACATGACCAAGCGATGATTACAATTCTCTGAATTCAAAAGGATCAAAATAAAGTTGTCTTCATGATAGAGAAAACAAATCTAGAAAATTACAATACTCGAGCTGTTGAGCATAAGCTAAGATTCTACGTAAATTTAGTGTGATTGAAAAATCGGTTTATCTTAAAAAAAAAAAAAAATGGTTTGGTGATATGTATTAAGAACAATTTGCACCAAATTTACTGCATAATTATCAGAATCTAACATTTCATGTTTTCATTACATCACTTCCCTCAGGAAACAAGCTGGTGTTCGAGTCCGAAACAAACAAATGGAAACCAAATACAAGAAATGTCATCGGTTGTGGCTATAACCCAAGCCAGAAAAAGATCATCTTCACATCTGATTCGAAATTAGTACATGAAATTCATTGCAAGACTGACGAATTCAGCCATCCACTCTATCCAACCCTAGCAGCAAACACCGATATTACAGTTCTTTTTAATCTTGGACAGAGCCCATTTAAATTTGGGCCTGCAAATTCACAAAGAACGCCCAATCCAAGCCTCATTGGCCCTGGTCATGCAAATTCACCTGCAGCCTTAGGCTATTACATTGAGGATAGCAAAGAGCTTTTTTCGATGGGAAGAATAGATTCACAATGGCTTCAAAGGGGTGACACTAGACATTACAATACAGCGAACAGTGTTAGGTCTTTAGATTTTGATCGGGACTCGGAAAGTGAGTTATTCGAGATTGTTTTGGATGGTACCGGACGCTCTCCGCATAGTATGGCATATCATTAGTACTTGGATCGTTCTAAGAACCAGCAAAATTAGAATGGGAAATTTCCAAGAATATTGGTGATAATTTTGTTTAGATTACTTTTAGGCATATTTATGTGACCATTCGTAGTCTTGTACAGATTTTTGTAGAGTGAAGAGGCTTTGGGTTATTTGTATATATATCATACATGTATTGTATGCTTCTGAAATAATAGAAATAGGTTTTCGTTTTGTATAAGGAGAGAGATGTGCTTGCTTTTTTATGTGTTTGATTAGTTAACTAGTTAGCAAATTTAATAGTTGACTTTCAAGTTTTCACCCTCACATATTTGTTGTTAAAAAACAAAATCAACAATATTAAGGCCTAGTATAACGACACTTTTATAGCAGAAAAAAACTTCTTTTTCTAATAATAACTTAGTTAAAAGAAAGATTACCGTTTACTAAAATGTACCTAAAATTAAATTAAAATTATGGAGCTAGATTTAAGTTGTGTTTGATTTCTTGAAGTACCGTACCATTTTTTTCCCCGATGGATAGATGTATTATAAATAAAAACATTACAAACAATGAATAAACTAAAATAAAAAGTTCTCCGCTCCCCTTCTCCTTCGCCGAAAAATTGGTTAATCGCCGCCTTCCTCTCGGCGTCTAGCCTTATCGGTAGTCGTCCCCTCGCCGCCCGGTCCTTCCCAGATGCCGTGACTCTGCTCGCCGCAAGTGCCGGCGGTTTCAGTGGTTGCCAAATCCAATTCACCTTCTCCGGCAAGTAAGTTAGGGTTTGCGATTGCTGGCCTCTCCGGCGCGGCAGAGGGCTCATGGGTCGTGGTGCCCTGGGTTAGGGTCCTGATGGAGACGAGCTCGCGATGGCTTTTCTGAACAAATACGATCTGCTTTCAGCATTAGCTTAATTATTTACGTTGCATTATTATTATTATTATTCCTATTCCGTATTTATCTTGATTAGTTGGTTAGGAGATATTTATTTACTTGTTTGACAATTTAGGGAGTGTAGGAGATCTTGAACTCTATTTATTATCTATCTGGCCAAAAAACGTACGGCAGAGATGATGAATAAGAAATAAAATCTGTTATTGTGTGGTTTACGAGAGAGAATATCTCTTTTATCCCGTTCGTCATTCACGTTCTACATCAGTTGGTATCTAGAGACCAGCACGATCCGCGATGCCGCCAAAGAAAGGAAACGCTGCTAACGATCCAAACATCGACGACCGATTCCAGCGGATGGAAGATCGGATTCAAGGGATGGAAGATCGATTCACAGAACTTTCCACGGGGGTCGAGGAGATTCGACTGGCAATGAGAACCATGATGGAAGAGGTGCATACGAACCGCGACGCTGGCGACCGGGGCGCGCGCGGAGGGTTTCACGGTGGTCGTGGTGGACGTGGCTTTGGTGAGGCGCCCCGCTGGCATTCATCTCAGCCCCCACCCTGCGACTATGAGGACGACGAAGAGACCATATCTATGGTTAATCCTTTCGGCGACGGGCAATTTTAGAGAGGCGCCGAGGAGTTCGACGGGCATGGTGGGCAGCGCCAGCGGCGTGGGGCACCTTTCATGGCGGACGACGACCAGATGCAGCGGCCTAGGGTTTGTCATCACAGGCGGGCCGGCCCTCACGAGGATGTCTATCTGCGACGGGACGACGCTCACGATCGTGAAGGATACGGCTTCACCGACGGCGACCATTAGGGCAGGGACGGAGGGTTTCGGCGCGCGGGTTTTGGCTACGCTGCGGGGGACGAACGGCAACATCGCGAAGGGCCAGGATTCGCTGCAGGAGAGCAGTTCCGGCAGGACTGGGGCTGGCACGATGGTCGGGACTTCACCGGTGAGGAGCAGCAGTGGCGAGCTTTGGGTCCCACGTTGAATGGTGACGGCCAGTCGCGTTGGGTGCAAGGTTTTCGAGTCGATATTCTTGAATTTTCGGGGGGCCTTGATGCTGCGGAATTTTTGGATTGGTGGGCTGCCGTTGACTCCGTGCTCGAGTTTAAAGGAGTCCCCGATAATCAGCGAGTCGCGCTTGTTGCGACGAGGCTTCGCGGCCGTGCGGCCGCTTGGTGGTTACAACTCAAAGGAATGCGGCATCGTCTCGGCAAACCAAAAATCTCGACGTGGATTAAATTCCGTAAGCACTTAGAACGTGAATTTATACCATTTAATTATGCTCGTTTCGTTTATCAACAATTTCAAAATTTGAGACAAGAAGGTCGTTCCGTGGATGAGTACACAGAAGAATTTTACCGACTCTTAACTCGTGTGGAGATTCGTGAGACGTCGGACCAATTGGTTTCGAGGTATGTGGGCGGTTTACGGGTTGCTTTCCAAGATATGCTTAATATGATAGCTCCCGATTCATTTTCTGATGCTCGAACAACAACATGCACGAAAGGCGGGTGCTTTGTCTGCACCGTCTTATAAGAAAATTCTGGGGACAATGGTTACGACGCCAATTGGGTCGAACAGTCAACCGGGTGTTGGAGCAGTGTCCGTTGGTCCCACAGTTGGGGGTAGCGGTCGACAGCCTGGCGGGCCGCGTTGCTTCTCATGTGGCAAACTGGGTCACCGACAGGCCTAATGTCCGAAGACAAAGGAGTCACGGGCTTTAATTGTTGAGGAGATGGAGGCCGGCGAGTATGATGGCCCTCCAATTTTCGACAATGAGTCAGAGGTTCCAGTGGTGCATGTCTCGGGGGACGTGGGTCACGCACTTGTCCTTCATCGATCCCTGTTGTCCCCCCACATTTTTGCCGATGATGAAACTAAGCGGAGACACCTTTTTGAGTCTACGTGCACCATTGGCGGTCAGGTGTGCCATTTTGTGATCGATTCCAGCTCTTGCGAAAACGTGATCTCGGTTGAAGCCGTTCAAAAACTGGAATTGGTGAGTGAGCCGCATCTGAATCCATACTCTCTCGCGTGGATACGGCGTGACAACTATGTCTCTGTTACACGTCGTGTATTGGTATCTTTTTCTATCGGCTCTTCGTATAAAGATGCGGTGTGGTGTGATATTGTGCCTATGGATGCGTGGCACCTTTTGTTGGGGCGTCCTTGGCAGTTTGATCAAGCTGTGGTACATGATGGCCGCCTTAACACATATGAGTTTACATTTGATGGTGTTCACTTAGTTTTTCATCCTGCAGCTCCCCATTCGATGTCGGTGTCCCCACCGGCGTCCTTATTTCTTTCCCGTGGTGGGGCATATGAACAGGTGTATGGTTCATTGGACGATCGTTCGGTGGTGTTTGATGTGGGTGACTTTGTGTGGGTTGTTTCTGTTAGTGTTATATACTGAAAGCTTGGCTTTGCATGTTATTACACATTTACCCTTTATGAATGAGAATCATGTTAGATTAAACAAGTTCTACGTTCTGTTGTTCTGCACTTAGATAGGGTGGGTCGTCATCGGGCGAACCGAAGATCACTCTGTCAGTCACTTGCGAACAAGAATAGTTGTTCACAACCTAGATGGACATGAACACCCCATCCGAACGGTTGTAGTGTCAACTGTACAGTTTGTCTTGACTGATTAGTTGCACTAGTACATTTATGTATTGAACAGGATCCCAGAGAGGAGAAGTTCATTTTATACTGATCGTCGTAAATGAACTAGGCCTCGGTTAATTACTGCGTTCTCTTAACCCGTAAGATATTAAACAGGCAGATATATATAATATATATTACTTTGATTCACATGGGTGAGGTTCAGTTCGCTGGATTAATATTCCTACTGTTTTGGGTAATATTATTATATATAGGATGTGCTGTTAGGATATTTACGGTCACCATGTGCGTTAGTTTGATGATGTCCCCGGAGTGAGTTCATGAAGGATTGTTATGCTAAACCCTGCAGGTGGATTAAATTCCGGCATAATAAGAATGTGATGAACGAGCGCTAGCTTCGGTGAAATAATAATAAATTAATTAATTCTTGATTGTCAGTAATCGAATTAATTAATGGACATTATATCTTAAACGTGGGGAGGTAAATCGAGTAATTATTATTGGAGTCTCAAATGTAATTTGGGCTAGGGAAAGGGAGTGCAATAATATAATGTTGGTGGCCCATTAATATTATTTAATTAATTAGAGGAGTGGGTTTGGCCCACAGTTAGTCTAATTAATTAAGGAGCCCTTTTCCTAATCTCCTTAGGGTCCCTACTGTAGCTCTATATATACATCATTAAGCTCATGAGAAGAGAATAGAATTCATTCTCACGTGAAACACGCCTCTCTCTCTAGATCTCATTCGAGCTTTATCTTCTTCTTGTTGCTCCACTGGTACAAGTTGAAGAAGGGTGTATTGAGTAATACAGTAGAAGATCTGTAGGTAAACCGAGACGAAATTGATTTTGACCTACAGAACTAACCGGAAGTCCGATTGAGACGTACAGTATACCCAGACGACCGTCTCGACGAGAGCTTTCCATCGCCGCCGACGTCGCCGGAATCCGACGCCGCACGCGCCCTCACGCGCCGCCGGAAGGTGTCTGGCAGCAAAATTTCGTTTTGATCTGTTTGCATCCGTTTGATCCAGTTTTGATCTGATCTTGTTCGTGCAACCCAAGACGCGTGTTGCGGTCAATCAATTGCGGTCAACCGTTCGTGGTCAACCAGATCTACATAAATTTTAAGCCGTAAGTTCTCTACGTCAAACCTTTAGATCCGCTGCGCATAGGTTTACGTTTGCTATTGAATTCGTGATTTGTACATAACGAGATCCTCACAGATCCCAACAAGTGGTATCAGAGCACTTGGTTAATTCGTTTTGTACAAAGTTCGAATTTTTACGGCTTTATTTGACAAGATGTGTTCAAACGCAGCCATATATTGGATTATATTTGCATAACTCGGTTTTGCAGGAAAATAGTTAATCCACTATTATGGCCGATTATGTGTTTGATGAATGTTGTTGAATGTGATGTATGGTTTTAAATTTGTTTTTAAAGCCTCGGGCATGTCGAGGAATTTATGGATGAATGTTTGTAATAATTATTCGCCCGGGGGTTGACCGGATAGATTTAATTATTTGTTTAGAAAACATGTACATCCATTCGTTGGATCTAGGATCGAATTATGTAATTTTGTAAATTATATTTTTCGTGTTGTGATCGTGTGTTGATAACCGGGAGATCACAAGAGATCAACGAGCCTCGAAGAAATAAAAAAAAAAAAAATCGGCGTTTTTCCGGCGAACTGGTGGCGGCGGCCGGCGAACCGGCGGTGGC